TTCATATCTAGTTTTACATTGCGTAGCTGATCTAAATTTCGAAAATAAAAAAAAACTCAATGGATTGCCGAGTGAAACAAAAAAGAACGGTTCAATGAGTTCATATGGCGCAGAAAAAAGTGCTCGCATTCAGAAAAGCATCAAGCTTTGTTTGAATTGGATTTTTTTCTGATCTCACTCTATCCCTTCACTGCAGTCTCGTACTTTTTGTTCAATGAAAACGAGTTGGAAATAGAGAGACTGTCTCTGTATGACTCGAAGCGAATTTACGATGCTTTTGTAACGATGCACAAAAACCACCTGTGTCAAATGCCGTTCTTTTTTTACTCTCTCTTTCTCTATTTCTATTTTGCTTATTCTCTCTTTCCCTTTCGCATTATATTCGTCTATGTTGTGTGTATATTTTTCGCTTGTGATAACGGTATGTTTTCCTCTGGCGCTTACACCATACCGTGTTCTTGTGTTTCGTTCACAACCATTCGTACTCTGGAAAATTGTGCATTGTTATCTGTGACACTAATTCATGCACATAATTTCTATTTTGTTGGCTGCTATGCTCTTTTCGGGACTCGTTGACGTTATATATATCGCGTTTTTTTTATATCATTGTTTTCCAGATGCAGCCACGGCAGAAAAAAAAAAGAACAACAACAGAACTCTATCAAACAGTTGCGAATGCGTATAAATGATGTGTCAACATGAAAAGCACGTCAAGAAAATACACAAAATTCATACTCGGCATGAGTGCACGTAATCCAATTTGTCGGTGAATAAAAAATCCCTTTCGATCGAGAGAGCGAGAGTGTGTTTACGTTGAATCGGAAAAAATAATAATACTCCAATGAACAAAAAAAAAAATATTTTTTTTATTTGAAATGTTTCCGTATTACAGCCAGTATCAAAAGTGTGAACACTATTGCAGAGCACTTTGAATTGGCTACGGTAGGAAAACATTGAAAGAAAATATTCAATCCACTACAGTTATCCCGATCCCCCGAAGAAGAAAAAAAATATTCATATTCAGTTCCAACCGCTGTACTATTGTGATACGCCTTTAATCGAAAACAGAAACCACAACAATGCACATATCGTCTCTAGTCTGCGCTCGCCACGAATTGGAATTTAAAAAAAATACACACACGGTGTCGACATTAGTCTAGAATAAAAGCAAAATATTGCTCGATCGTAAGAATAATATAAAAACAAAACCAACGACGAAAAATATGAATGTATCGAATCAAACACAAAATTGTAACTGAAATTTGTGTCTATGATCGAGTTTGCTTCAACAACAACACAATATGCCGATGCACACCAAGTCTATATGTGTGTATGTGTTGAGTCGTGTATTTTGCTAAAATTAAAATAATCAATCGACATCGATGTGTGTGCATTTGCTTTGATGTTTGAACATTACCCAAAAAAAAAACAACATACCATACAAACACAGATCGGTTTAAAGCTCGAACGCTCTTTAAAGAAATCGCACACAATCATCGGCTGTGTGTTTGGATATTTATACAAACACAAATAAATACGCTTCAGGCACACTCAGCTGTCGATGTATCTATGTGTGTTTGTGGCGAACAACAACGAGACACAACAGCCGCGGGTGATTCGGTATTATTATTTTTTTGTTTCGCTTCTGCGTTTGTGTGTGTGAAATATTTACAATATTCTCGAGCCCCAGAATTAGCAAACACAAGAAATGTATTCGCGACTATGATAGCAGAGAGAGATAAAGACAAAAAGAGATAGAAAAACGTTTGAATCACACAAACAACTTGTTTTGGTGTTTTTAGCGATGACACAAAATGAACAGCTTAAATACTTGCCGAAGGTGAATGAGTGTGATATACAAAAGTATAGAGAGTTTTTTCTCTGCTGCTTCGCTTCGATAGCATGCTGTTAGATTGCCACTTTTAGTGTGTGCGTGCATTTGTATGTGTATGTCGAATCTGTTTGTACAAATCGAATGAGTTAACCAGCAAGGTGTCATTATTTATACCTTATCTATGCATTGCATAAACACGAATGTCAATACAATAAATGTAGTCTATGCTTTTAGTTTTCGGAACGTGAAAATGATATTGTTGTTATCAGCATACGGTTTTGTTTGTTCATTCGATCGGAAATTTGTCAATTTAGCTAACTCAGTAGTTTGCGTATCTGGTTTGGCAAAAATGGATATTGCGCATTGATAATAAAATAACAATAATAATATCACCACAGCACAAACTCCAGCATTTTGCATACGAACATTCCATCAACACGTCACAATATCCACAACAACTTATTCAATTAATATTTCGAATATGAAGTGAGAAATAAATATACGCGAAGCTGTTGTGTGAGTGCGTACCATTAAAATCTCCATGTGACACATGATACAACATGTCGCATCGATTGAATAATTATGAACATTCGATTAAAGATCGATGTGTTATTGATAAAATGTGTGACGGTTGAGATCTAGTTCAAAGTGCTTTGTTCATTTTCTTTTCAGTTTCGCATGACCCGAATTCAATCATATTTTATGCGGGTAATTGGATTTTCTTGTATTCGCTCTCACCATCGTACCTATATTGGTGAACTATGTGTTTTCATTGAGAAGATTTGTTGAATGGGCAATTACCTATACTTGAAGTTTGTGTTTATGTCATGAACTCGTGAATGGGCTATCATCGATATCATTTGATCGATCACACATTCCAAACAACCGAATTCATTTCACATGATTTATCGTTTTTTTAGGCATTTGCTTAGCTCACCCAATCGATGAAAAACTGTTTTTGTTCTTTGGTGCGCGCACACACAACAGCGCTGTTCAGTGTTGACCTTGAAATGTAGATCCGAACAGAGTCGAGAGTCGATAATTAAATTATATCATTATGTTTGGAATTCACGACTTTTTCTGGACTATTCGCGATGCTAACCAGTCAGCCTTCGGTCAAAAGATAAATATTTTTTTCTTTGAACTGTCTTTGCGGTGCCTATTTGGTATTGCTGTCTTTTCTTTGAAACATACATTGTTAAAACATACAACTACAACTATGAATTATGACTTATATCTTCAAAAGAATAACGAGGATTTATGAAGTTTATTAAGTGCGTGAAAAATACGACGAAAAATGTTTTAATGAGCACGAATTTTTGGTCGCATTTTTCATTTTGAAAAGAAAAAATGTCTGTGTGTAGTGAGTAACACAATGCTGTTTGCTTTGGCGGTTCGATAGACAACAGCAATTCGATACTTGGATACATGTATGTGCACACTGTTTGGAGTCATGTTTCCGAAAGGTTTCTTGGCATGTACTTTCTTGCTCCGTTTGCGAAGCACCGTAAATGTAAACTTTTCCATCGTACTTGGTCTGAAAACCTTTGAGCCCTACACATGCACGTAATTCGTGTGAAATCAGAAGTTTTGCTTCCGACAATCAAACGTCAAACTTTACATGAAACATAAACAATAGATAAAATGAGAGTCAAAACAATGCATGTGGCATTTTCAAGACGAAACACTGAAGTTTTGTGCAAAAAAATCGAGTAGTCGATAATGCGACGAAAATCGAAATTGAATTGAATTGTAGAAGTCATTCAATATCTGAAGTTCCTGGCGAAATAATACGCCTTGGCACAAACACACACAGAGAGAAAGAGAGAGAGAGAGACATGTGGAATCGATAAATTTCAAAATATGCATTCAGTCGTGTGTATGATGAATAGCGCCTATCATATTACGACTCCAGTCGGTGAGACGTTGATACGGTTTTCCAATTTTCGTCGCTTTATACATCGGTTGTGCATTGAAAATAAATTACGACGTCATATGCATCGCATTTATGGGAGACGGAATGGTGGTACGCGAAATCAATATTGTATACACAAAATGCAACAATATCGATATAGAACGTGCACAATGCTTATCAGTATTATGGTGATTTTGCAGCGCGATTGCATTCAATAAGTTGTGGAAAAGTTTTAAATCTATGTGAAATGTGTGTGTGAAGTGTTTGTGTGTGTGGTGGTTGGTATGTTAAAATTTATCGATAAACTTTAAACTTCAGATCGTTTTCGTCACTTTTCAGTATACCGATAAATTCAATTAAATCAACAGAAGCGATTCAATTGTTTGCACAATATATGCGAGTTTTTAATTAAACAGAATGCGGTTGTTTCACACCAAAAATCGAGAAGCACACAATGCGATTAATATTTCAATTAAAATCCATTGTTCTATATGGTATGTCCTTGACCTTTCTAGTTTTATTACGCCCAACGTACGTATATGGTGTCGAAAAATGCAGCCACAGCATGAGAATCCAATGACGATGCACTTGGTCTGCAACCCACTCACATTCACACACACACACACACACACACACAATAATCTCGAAAGCAGTGAATAACAATCAGAAACCAAAGCGCGCACAATACACATTCCAAATCGTTTGAAACCTATTTACAATGTCGCGCACATACGATAGATTGTGCAACGAAAGACGATCAAATTACAAAAATACACTCGATTCGCTTATCCAAACCAGGTGTTGTGTTCAATGAATTACAAATGATGTTTCACTTCCACACACCGTAAGCAGTATACATAAATTTGTGTGTATATTTGTTTACACCTTTCTCTCCCTCTCTTTCTTCTCTCTTTATGGTTCATTCGTCAAGCACACCTAATTGAACTGTTTATTTGCGTTCACTTGTTTCGTTGTCATAAAGCATTTTGGTTTTGTGTAAAACGGAATGACTGATTAGCATTTACATGTAACTTTTGTTATAAATCAGGCACCTGTGAGCAAAACGTTCAGTGTATTGTCGAAATTTGCGAATCTCTTTGAAATTTGAAGTATTTGCTTGAGGCTAATTATCTCGAGATGTTGTTAGTTGATAATTAGGATCATGCACACTCCATCGTCATCGTCATTTCGTACAAAGTTGCATAATAGAATTTGTGAATTATATTGAACATGTGTGCATGCTAAACTTACCACAATCGTTCAAATGACCGGATCTATTTTCATGATTGGATTCCACCAAAACATTGCTGTCATTGATTACGTTCGGCGCAACAATTTCCAGTTGTTTCGGTGCATTTGCCAGCAGAATACTTGCAGCTTGCTTATCAATTTGTTGAACTCGCTTATTTTTCAAATGATGTGGCGTATCTCTGTAAAATTACAAAATATCATCAGTATATTTGACTCTTCTAGTGACTGTTCTGTTTAATAAACCGTACCGTCTGTGCAATTTAATTGGATGTAATTTTTCAACCTCTTCACCTTCGTCTTCACCTTCCGATTCGTTTTTCTCCGGTTCTTCCATGAAAAATCCCACTTTACGCTCATTGAAACCCTGCAATTTAATCATTTTTTTTTTCATCAAAAAATTTGTTCAACAAAAAATCAATCTTTTTCTCCTTTTTTGAAATTCTAACAACAAAATTTACAATTTTTAAAACTCTATTCTATTTTTTATTAAATATAAGAAAAAAAGGGGAAAAAAGTGCACTTACATTAACATCTCCATTTTCATCGTCTCCACCAAAAATTGGCTCTTGTGAAATACTTTTAGCGACGGCACTAGGATTGGCTGAAACATTCAATGGAGGCGCCACAATTGATTCAACTTCAGTTCGTGCCTCGGATATGTTATCCATTGTTGTGGAATTAATGATGGTTGTTTTCCCCGATGATGGTTTTGATGATGACTAAACGTGTTCCACACACGCCAAATGTAAAAGCATTCAATTTAGAACATTTCACATTTAGACTTGATGTGCGAAAGCTTCGTTGTTTTGAGAGAAAAAAAATCACTTACCTCTTCGGACAAGGTGTCCAAGTTTCCATCGTCAATTTTGTTCTTTTCCTTTGCAAAAAGTTTATGCGCTTTTGCTTTCAATTCCTTCGGATGCGGTGTATTTTGTCGTACAAATGGTGTATCCTTGTCGCCAATATCCGGATCTGGATCGGTTTCGGAGAATTTAACGGAATGTGTACGAGATGTTTCACGTTCTTCCCATGCCTCATCATCAGAAGAGCGGTCTTCTTCGTGTCGATCTGATCAATTGTGGAAAATGTGATAATGGAACGAAAATAGACCAATCAATGATCATGTCAAATACACATAGCCAACCAAAATAGGTTAGTTTAAACAGGAAACAATCATCATCAATCACAATATGCAATGGTTATATAATGTTCAATCAAAATGTTCGAAATGTATGTTGTTTTATCTACGGTTTGCAACGCACCAAGCACAGAGTATTCGAATATGTTCATGCTATTGTTAGTCGATTCGAATAATTCGTATTAGAAGAAGAAAAACAATTTATATGAAATTGAAATCAGATTGAGAATCAATTCACCGTTATAAAAATGACGTATCTGATGTGAATGCGGTTTCATCGTATGCTGGTATTTATCGAGGTTGAAAATCAATTATTCCATTGTCACATTTGACTAATCGAATAAATTATCAATATGTTTTGACATACCACGATGGCTACGGTTTCGAAAACAGAGTGTCAACAATTCCGTATATCTGCAATCACTTTAAATACGCATTCGAATGCTCATTTCAAACCTGACATTTTTGGTATGAGTGTTCGACCGAGATTTTCTATAAATATCGCCAAATATGAGAATTATCGTGGCGTTGATGTGCAGAATCGGTATGGATGCATTTATCGGAGTCATTCTATATACGGCCTTCATGCATAAAATGGATGAACGGTTAATTAATTAGTCGAACTATTGTTAGTTACAGTTAATATATATTTTTCCATTGTCTGAGCGCACGTACGCAATACGAAATGCATCAAGAATGTTTGGCACTATGGAAAGTGTAAATAATGCGTTTCTGAAACATACTTAAATTACCATAAATTTGCGCATAAATGGCATGCACACAACATTCCATTGTTAGTTCATATTAGCCGCTGTGTAAGATGCGCTTCACACTTTAACGTATTTTTAGCTGAGATTTTCTATTCGACATCAATTTTAGAGAGACATATGCACCAACAGCATTCCGATGAAATGGGATTTGCGAAGTATATTTGAACTTTTTGATCAACAATTTGCGTGATGTTTTGGAAAACGTTTCTCTTTCATATCTATCGAATGGAATTCAGTTGAAATAAATGGGGCGTTATCTTATCAAGCGCTTGTTTATAAAATCCATGCAAAACACGAGAGAGAGAGAGATAAAGATATTGTTAATCAATAATTAAGACTGATAAAGCCTTCCCATTCACAAATATGCGTTGTTTGCATCTAGTTTGAACAAGCGAGCTTCGAATGAAGAGAGTTTTAGTGAAAACTGGGATTATAAAGGCGAATGTAAACAAGGAATACGATGGGTGAGAGCAAAAGATACAAAGATAGAATGAAAAGGATAAGAAATTTCTACTGAAGTAGTTAGATTTGTCGAGCATCGTAAAAATAGATTTCATTTTTGGTAATGCAAACCTTCAATTTGGGATAAATCCATTGAATCGAATATTTGATTCGATCGATACAAGCGGCCAGGTAGAAGAATTTCTTTAAAATAGAAATTCCATCAGTTTAATCAATAACCATAAACATGAGAAATATTTCCATATATTTCAAACAAATGAAAAAAAAAATATGTTTAAATAAAATTTAACTTCGAACTATGAACCACGAATAGCGGATATATCATTTTGAATCACATTTACAGTCTAAAACCATCGAAGACACTTTGTTTTTGTGACAGTAAAAAAAAATATTGAAACTCACCTGCAGCTTGTGGCTGATATTCCAATTGAGGCAACAAGAAACATGTTAATACCTGTTGACACATTGAAAGGAACAGAATTGTTATGATTGATAAATTTCATCGGAATTAGTTGGTTCCGGTCATGTTATACAAAATTAAATGATTACCTGTTGGCCGGTATTTTCGTCGGTGTCCGTTTGAAATGTGAGCAATGGTTGGGCCTGATTCTCCGATAGCCATACCGCTTTCAATTTTAGATTGACCAATGTGTATGGTAAATATTGTAATTGATTGCCCGATACATCAAGCACATGTAATTCGGAGCAATTTCCTAATTCGCTCGGCAATTTTTTCAATTTATTGTCACGTAAACTGAGCACACCCAACGATGTACAATTGCCGATTTCTAACGGTATCGATTCTAAGGCATTTCTATCTACATTCAAATTATTCAATTTTATCAAACGACCAATCGACTTCGGCAATTTTATCAGAAAATTTTCGGTCAATATAAGCTCTTGCAGATTTTCACATCTAGTTTTTGATTTGGAGATAGAAAAAGAGAGCATCTTAGTTTAGATTTTGAGACATTTATTGAGTTGTTTGTGTCCCCTTCTGATGGCATTCCCTGCATTCTGTGTGAACTAACACATAAATAACATGAAAAAAAATACTTACAATCCGATTAATTCATTTAATTCTTCTAGTCGATTTTGATCCAATTTAAGAATGGTCAATTTGCGCAGCTTTGCCATTCCATCCGGCAATGTTTCAAGAACATTTTGCGATAAATGCAAATCGGTTAAATTCACTAAACCGCTAATTTCTTCAGGTAATTCTTCTAGTCTGCATCGCGTAAGCAATTAAAAATGAGAAAAACAAAGAGCAAAAAAAGCAAATATTTCATTTAAATAATACACAGAATTCACAGCTTGAAACAATGCTAAACATAATGAATTGCCATTTAACTGTATGTCGAAACACCAAGTCAATGACATCAATTTACAATGAATGCAAACGTATTTCCTTTCTATCTCTTTCTTTCTATTTTATATTACATCGCGTCAATTCCATATTTCATTTAGAATTCCCGGATCAGAATACAAAATTAAGACGAAGAAAAAACAAACAACCAAAAACCCATTGAATGTGTGTTTCAACGTTTACGCGCCCGCTCACTGCTGCGTCATTTTTTTATTTTAAAATTTTTACTAAAGAAATGGACAATAACTTCAACATATTTATGCTAAACACGCACGCATCACTCCCATTCTTTCTTCATCGCATACGTTGGATCATATTTTTCGCTGTAAATGTTTTTTTTTGCTTTTTCTTAGCTGTGCACTGTGCGCATTCAATTTATTTTAATCCAGAAACAAAGTGTAAAAACTTGTGAGTTTGCTTATTAGAATGAGTTCTCGCCGTCATTGTTGCTGTTTTTTCTTCATCTCATCCACGTTTTGCGCAGTTAAACAACGGAAACTGGTAAAATTCATTATGGTTTTTTTTAAATATTCTTTCTCATTAAACGGATCTAACATTGGCTCCGTATTGTCTTCGCTCTTTAAAAACCATAAGCTATTAATTTATCATGTTGCAAATGTGAACATTTAATACTCACTTATTTTCCGATACATCGAGACATGTTAAATTAGTCAAACGGCCTATTTCTGGTGGTAACCGCTGCAATTCATTGTGATCTAACCATAATTCTTGGAGCGCTGGCAAATAACCTAAATGCGATGGCAACGTCACAATATCATTGTCACCCAGATCCAATCGTTCTAATTTGGTTAATCTACTGATCGATTCCGGTAAATCCTTTAATAAATTCTCTCGCAATTCCAGGGTTTCCAATTGTGACAAGCTAATTTTAGAAAGAAAAAAAAAACAAAATAAAAATATATTATTGAAAAAATATTGAATGTCGCCGCAGAATTTTAAATTTAAGTGCCATAAAAATGTTATGTCGAATGGTTCATCGCTGAATTTATGTGGGGTTTTTACAAATGTCACTTGTAGTCAGTATTTAATCCGTTGTGTGGTTTTGTTGCTCATGGATTACAATTCATTTTACAACTTTCATTTTCAATTTCGCATATTTTACCTTTTCCAGATTAAACTGCATGCAAGCAGAACATGAACCATTTCAAATGGCTCAAAATGACTAAACAAAATTCAATCAACGGATGAAGAAAAAGCAGAGTTAGGTCGTCGAGTGTTAGGGAAAGTGTTGAAGAGAGACCAAGAGAGACAAAAAATGTTACATGCCGCACGTATTTATCGATTAGTGAATGTCTAACCAACCGATGGAAGGCACACAAATTGTGTGTGTGCTCGAGATGATGTGGATCATGCTTATCAGCAATGTCGGCTAGTCGCGTGCATGATTCACTTCTTTCCAGTCGATTCATCAAAAAAGGCGCACTACATAATCTCATCCGTTCAATGTGTTACTCGAAAAAGTGAATGAACGAGCGAAAAAGAGATGGAAAATCGGTATGAAACAAATGGGATATAGCATGAAATGAGTTGATATTTTAAGCGACGGATGGTATTGATGCCGTTTCACATTCGAAACCGGAAATTATATAAAACTTGTTGTGTTTTTGCTGTTGCTACTTTAAAATTTGTATCCTTGTCGCACGCAGACTCCATCGATTGCTCGTCAATTCTCATTCAAGCGGTGATTGAGTTTTTATAATCCAATTATCGATTTTTATGTCGTTAGATATGCAGTAAAACGGTATTAATTCCATAATCGCATTTTGCCCCGTTCGCATCGATAGACATTGCGTATATACAAATACACTTCGACACATTTTTCATTCTCATTACGAAATTTCAAAATAGATATTTTTGAAGCGTGCACATAGCAGCCGATATAACACAGTCACGCATCTCTATCTCACTCTTTCTCTTACGAAAAATATGTCTATGCCAATAGCATACATGTATGTTCTCTATATGAAAATGTTCTCGATAATGAGCGCATCGGTTGAAGTAAAGTGCTACAAATGGGATAAACCTATCGTTTATCGATTTCGCATTCCATTGTAAATTAATACGTTTTATCTCACTCTTTTTCTCTGTTACGAAATCAGTAGCATATGCGTTTCAGATCTGAGATTTTATACACACGAAACGAAACGTTAACTTTTATTTGATTCATTTAAAATTAATTGAGTTCGGTTTTTATTGATTTTCCCAACAACTGAATATTCGCAGCACGATTGGGCGACGACAACGAGAATGGACGAAAGAATAAGCCATTAAAAATTAAATCTGTTGCAATCAATTAACATCGGACACTTTTTTCGGCCGTTTTTAATACATTTTATATTTATTTTAATGGAAGGGTCAACAATGAAAATTAACACCGGCCGCATAATTTTCCATTTTTTTTTTCTTCGAAAAAAATACTAAGTGCCAAAACGGATATTAAAACAATAATAATAGACACCATGAATATGGAATTACTTTTGAACAAAAAAATGGTGTTCACCAATTTTCGAGTCTTTTATGATAAATTTCAGCATATTACGTCTGTTTTCTTCGGTGATTCCGGGAGATTTCGACTCTAAATTCATTTCCGTGAAATTCAAAAATCCATTCGTCTTTACCATATTTTCTCTGATTTTGAGACAAATCAAAGTTAACGATGCTCGTGTTTTCGATGCAGGAAACCATGCAACATGAATTCGTTACACTTTTTATTCGAATTGGAGATGTGTTTACCTAACGGTAATTGAGGGTAAGCATTAACAGCAATCATGATTCATGAATCATGTGCTTTTCGAACGTTCATGGCAATGAATTTAATAGTGCTATGCCTCTTTTTTTCATCCTATTTAAAACAAGCATCTAAAATTAGACGCTTCACAAAAAAAGGTCGATCTGTTTGGTTCAATTGAAATGCCAATGCAAAATGTCAATATCAATGTTGTCTTGGTAAAGAGTCTTTACGACGATGCTTTCGATGAAGAGATTCGTAAATTGGCATTATTCTCTCTTTTTATGCACTTTGTTTCAGATTCATTGGCAATTTTTAAACCTATTATACTATTATGATCAATTACGCCAATTATACGTTTCGTGTTGTCTCGTTGAGAAAAAAAATTGTTTTTCTTTTTTTTGGTTCACTCAATTCGGCTTCGATTTGATTTATATATAATGCATGATGAAGAGTGATAGAGTGAAATGGTTCAGGTTTGTGTTTCGAATTAGTTTGTTTACGTTCGAAAATTATTGACGTCATGCAAAACAAACAGCGTCGATGAAGAGCGAGAGACGGAGAGAAAGAACAGCAATGAGTATATTTTGATTGGCATTTAATTCATTAGATTATTCGCTTTGCGAAATTGCCCCAAATTCATTGAAAATTTGATGTATCGATGATGGAACCAAATATGATAAGTTAAAATAATATGGAAAAGTTTTGTGCTACAAGTTTGCTATGGATTTGGGTATTTTCATCATTAAAATCAACTTACTTTCCAAAATCATCTGGAAGTGATGCTAATGACATATCATTCAATCCTAATACTGTTAGGTTTTTTAATTGCGAAAATCCGGGCGGTAGACGTTCGATTGGATTCGAGCTAAAAACGGCCGTATGCAAACTTTTGAGATGCCGTATCTCATCTGGAATGTCGGGGATATCTGTAATGAGAGAGAAGAAATATATATTGTTATTGAGTGAATTGTATAGTAATGTACCAATATAATGATATTCAATTTTCAATTTTGATTATTATTATGAATATATGTTAAATTATGGACCATTTGTGGTAATATATTTTATTTAGACTATTAAACGCCTACGAGACCCCTCAAGCATAAAATCCAAATTCTATATTTGTACAAATGCCTTTAAGAAACGTCAGTGAAGCGTCCATAATTTGCACAAACACACACATTTTCTAGTGAAAAACACTCGGAATGTTTTTGTTTTTTACGTTTCATTTTTCTTTGATGCAATAATACAAAGTGCTATCAAGTAGACACTCATCAATTTGCATTTATATGGCATAATGTATATGGCAAGATAAAATACACCATTTTATTTGTCAAAAGAAAACAGACGTGCAATTTTCCATTTATTACCGATCCTTAATTTTGAATGAAATTCATGTAATTGGTATAAAATGCCTTCATCACATTCAATTCGACTAAGAGAGAATGATAAAGATAGATAGATGGCGATTGAATTTTCACATATTTCTTGAACACACAATTATTCCATCTTTGCCATAGATGTAGATCATTAGAACAGGTAAAAGATAATCTATAAATAAACGAAAAGAAAAACAATGTGTGTATGTCTCTTCGTGCGCGCAGAACATTGTGATTGTGGTTTTACTAGTTTTTTTTTATGTACATTCAATATCATTTCATTGCATGGGTTTTCATTATTATTTGTACAATGGCGTTTCGAATTTATGTTCTTTGTGCATCTTGAGCATCGTCGCCGTCGCCCTAACGTACAATCATAATTTAAATCAGTTGAAGTGGAAGAGGAAAATTTTATGAATGGCTTAACTGCATAATCATTGCGAACTCCTCTAAGCTAGATGAGAAAGCTCATTGTTAAATGTGCGAGCGAAAAAGCGAGCGAGAGAAATTGAGAAGCAGAACGCATGAAATGCCTGAAGACACACCAAGAAACAATATCAACAACATCTGACACGGTGGCTCTCGACCCAAGAAATTCCGCATTCACATTCGATAAACTAAGTAACGTAACATGAGTCGTTCATTCTATTCACTTTGTTTTCTCTCTCATTTCTGTTTTTTTTCGAGTGATTTTCTTTCTGCTGGCAAGTAGTTGGTAAGTAAATTACCACTGCAACTATGTGTATTGGACCGGTGGGTAAAGCATCTTGACATTGTGAAAAAAAATTATGCTCGTTACTTACATAAACATTTAAAAAAAAACCGGCAAAAACACAACTCGGTGAAGAGAGAAGAGGAAAGAGAGAGAGAGAGAGAGAGAGAGAGAGAGGAAGAGGTAGATGAGATAAGGAAAGAGAGAATTGCGAATTAAAACTGAGAAGGAAAAGCATACATCGAGATTAGTGCGAAAATTAATGTTTATGAGTGTTGACGGTGATGATGATGATGTCAGATGTTGCGTTCTTGGCTATAATGAATGTGACAAGGCAGAGAAGTGGTCGTCCACGCAGAAATAACACACGATCTGCGGACAACGCCAAGAACGACAATGACAAAAAAGAAATGAAGAAAGTCATTGTTCTCGACCTTGTCTTGTTAAAATGTACGCAGAAACCACACAAAATAGCACCGAGTAAACAAAACGACAACGATCAGATACAAAAACGCGATGCTTAATGCGATGTACACGTTGTATACGCTTTGTATTGTGTACAAAAGACGCGAGAGGTGTTATTCCATCGTCTACCATTGTCGACGATATGTTTTCTTTCGATTTCGTTGAGATTTTACCATTTTTCATACATAGCACACGATTACGTAAAACATAACCGCGACTCGCTAAAGGAATTTTGCCACTAAATCAGCGTCAAATTTTAATTCCAATCCGTTTGTCAGCTGTTTGTGAAATTCGTTAATTTTTCGTGGTTCGGTTGAAGCTAATACATGTCATGTCTCAAGGTAATGCACTGACTTGGGATTAGCGCATAAATGTTAGAAAATGAATTGCAACGCCGCGTGCACACAACAGATGCCAAGTGACATGAACTTGGTATCCAAGTGATTAAATTCTTTTTTCAAAGAAATAGATCAGCTTATTTATTGCGCATAAAGGAGCTATAAATGCGACTATATATATATACACACACACAAAGCCGTATCTATCGTTTCGAAATGCTATTAATAAAACGGCAGCATAATGGTAGGTTTAATAAAAATATTTAAAGGCTTTCAAAGTCGTTCTTTTTTGTGTTCATTAAAGCAGCAGATCGACTTATTGTTTTTCCGTTACATGTTCATTGAACACATATCACGACCACTGTGACTAGACAACAGACGTGTTTACCGAAAAAAAGAGCGCACAACGATCGGGGAAAAAACGAAAGTAATAAATATTCTTCGTTCGCATGTGACTGCTTTTCTTACTCAGCATCACATCGAGCGCATACGCACAGCACAGATGACGTACCTTTACTCTCTTTTTTTCTTTCTCTTGCGATCTCTCTCTCTCTCTCTCTCTATCGCTCCATTCTCTATCTCTCTTTTTCTGTTGATATAACATATGTGCAAGACGCAAGTAATTATACGATAAAAATAAAAACGAATGAACGATAAAAAAACCTAAACGAAACAACGAAAGATTTCGAACAAACGATTTGAAGCACGCGATTTCACGATGGAAATAAAACAGAAGTTGAAAATGTCTTTCTCGTGCCTGTTGATACGATAATTTAATTTTCCAAGAGCAAACATGTCGACCACCATTAATCACAACACAAACATGTATCGTTGATTTTTGCAAAAAAAAAATGCTGATCAAAAGAAGACGAACGAATATACTCTCGTTTGATGATGATGATAAAAGAAAATATGTAATATGGTTTTCCCTTTTATCGGCGTCCATTGACGCATTTTCCAGTGCTATTGGATCACTGGTTCAATCAGTGGTGCCCGCAGTGAAAGCTAAAATCTTCGTTCTATGATTCGCAGTCATATACTCGCTCCTATTATTATTATTTCCGAAGCTTTGCCGGATAAATATGTTTCATTACATTTATATGGTTTTCATCTCAATCTGGCGCATATTCAATTTAGAATAAGAGGTGTGTACAAGATCTAATCGCGTCACACTTTCAAGCATCACAAACCCCATCGCTATAAGATCAACGCGTCAGCTGAATCGAATGCCTCGTACAAATTTCACTGTGGAACGGGTGAAATGTCAAACATTTCGTATGTATCGTTGACAACAATGATTTATTCTATAATATGATTTTATTGGGCTTCGCATACTCGTTTGCATGCCAAATATACAGAAGCCACGGCTTTCTCTTTGAGAAAGAGAGAGAGAGAAAAAAAAACAACCGTCGATCTCAAACAAAAATAAACACACAAAAATGCTTCAATAAAATGACAAACTGACACATCGTCCTGCACATTTGAAATTTATTTTTGCATTCTTCTGCCATCCCATCACATCATGACAACCGATCTCCGACAAATTATATACATTTTCCAACTTTAATAGTTATCTTTTTCTCGATGCGTGTATCCAAGCGAGTTTGAAAATCAAATACGTAATTCTGTCGTTTTTTTCCCCATTTTTATTACGTTTGCATTCACTTCAATGTTCGAAGTGCGTGTTTTGTTGCAACATCACAGAATAAACAAATTACAGATTAGAATGATAGTGAAACGGAGAAAAGTAAATGAATAAAACACTCATCAGTGTATATATTCTGTGGTGTGTATGCTTGAAATTCTTTGGCTCTTTATTTTCTCGACGCTCCGTTGATCGGATGAAAAGAAAGCAAAAAAAAAACACGAAGCAAAACCAAAAGAAGTTCAACGACCCATTCGATACTGTGTTGTATTACGTTTTGTGGTTTACATTCCTCGCATCTCGCTTGTATGCGTTACCGGGCACACGAAATACGAACAGAAAGCATATGCGCTCCAATACACTGACGACTGGAATAGAATAATCTGCTATTGTAATCGCCATAACACTTTATTCAAAAGTTTCAATTCGACTTCTTTTTGTCGACCATTTTTTTTATCCAATATTAAATGAGAGTAAGAGAACACTTCTTCGCCACAATAAAGTGGTTTTGATGTGGAAGAATTTAAATATATCTTTTGAATTCTTCGAATAAAAAAAAAACATTTTCAAGAGTAACCGAAAAAAAATTGTACCAAATACTGGTAATTAGATTTCTCAGAAAAAAGTGCATTGAGAATGGGATGCATTTAAATCCAATAATCTGATTAAATCTCAATGGGAACGTTGGCGAGCACATGATAAAACGTAAAATCTTTCAATCCGATTCGCTTCATTTCGACTTGAATAAATCAGACCAAATCCATTGTGCAAAACCACTTTGAATCTCTCGATATACAGCTCCAGTTTTTTTTCTCATGCTTGTTGTGCATTCCAATTAGATGACGGAGCATTTGAATAGAGAAAAAACTGCCTTTCATCAAAGAAAAATGTAAAAAAAAGTGGATTGTAACTACAGAATTTAAAGGCCAAATTAAAGTTTTGATTGAATCATAAACAAATCTCGAGCCAATGTATGTGTGTCCATTGTGCTCGATTTTATTGAAATGATTGCGCTTCTTTTTCGTTGCATGTGCAAACACATCCATTCATCCATTCATACGCCAACTTCAATGAATGGCATTTATCTTCCTCTCATTATAATTAATTTAGTTCGTTGTGTATTTATCAAATCCAATAACAGGATCAAAAGAAGTCAGTCGTATGTGCACGTCGAGTGCAATGACTTCCTTTCTTATTTATTCAAATGGAATACTATAATTGATCAATTCAGTCAAGTTTCCCGGCGAAGATGAAGATGAAAAGACGCCATAAAGTGAGAGAGAAAACGTTTAGAGTGTGAGAAGAGCCATCGAAATTAGTCATTTTGAACTACACTTATTGAACTTGTTAAACTTTCATCTCACAAGAAAATCGAATAGAGTAAGCG